AAATCAAGAACATCTTATTATCACTGAAAAGACCAAGACATGAGTTGTTTGGTACTGAAAGAGTTAAAGCATATAAGGAACATGGTTACATTATTATATTAAACATTACTGCACATTCAGCATTTCCACGCATGCTCAGTCCTCTAGTGCAGCAGCCATCCTAATGTACGTATACAGTCTGTTTCTGTCTGATGAATTTTGCTAAAATATATTCTATGCCAACTTCAGTGGTGTGATATTGACCACATCACCCATCAAGTGCCGATTAGTCTATAAAACTATAGATCTGGCACTATATGCCCAATGTTCCTATGGCCTGAACAGCTTTACCAACTTACTTGTCTTGACTTTAAAGACCGGCATCAGTCACCCAGTGAGCATATCCTTTACAGAACGTCGCTCTGTTCACAACATGCCTAAAAGTCTGTTTTTTTTTCTCTAGCCAGTTCTCCAGATCTGCGCTTTCGTAGTGAATGCATCATCAGTGTTCTGTCTCTGCCTTTATAGACGTCAGCCTCTGCTTCATTTTCCATCACTGTTGTCTCCAGATGACCTCTTGACATGTCCGAAATTCCTCAGCTTTTGGGAGATGATATTGTTTATGAGCCAGTTCTCCTTGATGTTCAGGTCATGCTAATAAGTCAGGATCGTGCCACATGCCTAATTTCCCAAGATAAACTGTGAGCTCCCATTTCATGGTTGACCATACAGCTAATCTGATAGGGAGAAAATCCTAACACTACTGAGGATTGAATGTTAGACTTGGTTGGTGGTTGACTGGTGTGCCAATTACCCCACTATGATACTTCACAGTGGAGTAGGGTCCTAACGGTGCATGGAACAGTGATAGAAATTTTCTATAGTTGTCACTGGCATAGGAGCAGAGCAGTTATAGGGTGACTCCTTCGTGATGAAGTTGTAATCCTGGCCGATAGCCTGATAATGAAATAACAGTTGCTTCTCTCTCTTTGTTCGTAGAAATGGTTATTGTTATAGTACTTTAAATTTTTTTTTAAATCACAAAAGAGAGTTGCTGAATTGGGAAATATGGTTTGAAGAAATGAAGCCCCCTCCCCGGAACCCACAACAAACTTTGGAGAAAGAGGTGAAAGGTGCCTGTCTGGATTTCATTATGATATTAAAAGGATTAGACAGTATAGAACAGAACAAAGGAGTTGACTGAATCCTGTGTGACGTATACATTACCAACATGAGGAAGACGAGGATTTAACTAAGCACCCAAAAAGTGTCATAAAATGTCAGGTTTTGTTCAGATTACAGCAGAAACAGTACACCCCTAAAATAGCGAGAAAATGTGTAATTAACTACATTGATTTATAACATTTATTACATAGTAATGTTTATGATTTGTCAGTATGATGATTATAGTTGGTAATTATAAAATGGAATGTTTGTGTTTACTAAGCTGACTGCCATTGCTACTAAAAAAAAACCCCATAAAATAGATTTCTTTTATGGTCAGTTTATCTACAGTTCACATGTATTAACTTCAACAGTAGGAAATCTCCACAGTAATTCTATTTTCACAACCGATAACCAGCCACATGTTTGTTTCTAGACCGCATCGGCATAAAAATTCTGAGTTTGTTATAACCATTTTGACCTAAATGGACACCAGCCACCCATGTAGGGGAAAAAGAAAATACTTATTCCTCCCCAAAACGATTTCATTCATCCCACAGTAAAAGCAACAACAGGTTGAGCAGATGAAGTGCCTTGTGAGAGCAACCGGATTTCGCCAGTTTGCAGCTGGTGACAGAAGAAGAATCAGTTTGCATTTTTGGTATTTTTGACATATTTTTTTGTTTTAAGTACTTTGAATACTTTTGTTTTGGACATTCATTTTTGTAATAAAACACACAAATTTCTGCATCTCAATTGACAAGTCTCCCTGGGTGCTTTTTTTTTTTTTTTAAAGCCATTCTAGACACATTTTTGCATACATCATATAATGCAGCAGTTTTTGTAGTTTCTTCAAACCCATGTTTAGTTGGTCATAATTTCAACTTTTTTCATGTTTGTTATTGTTAACCATTGACCATCCCCACTCTGCTTACAAGGTACCCTGTTTGTCTCTTTGTCTAATTCCTATCACATAACTTTGCTGATTAAGATTGGCATAACTGTTGGGTGCATTAATGCTCTAACAAACTCACAACTTTGAGGTGGAGATACATCAGGGAGTTGATATTCACATTCTAACTATTGCTTTTTCCCATAAAAGTCCACTTGTCTAAGGCATGCATGTTGGATAGAACCTTTGGTTGACCCCCTAATATTGTGAAAGAGCCAGCTAGCTTGTCTGCTCTTTCTTTGTCCATAGTACCCTGCTTCATAGATTATATGTAGCTGTTTGTAGGGGCCTCTACAGGAGGCTTCAATAGTTGTAAAGTTATATATTGTCAGCATGTATAATGTTTAAATGACATGGTCTGTTCACAGGCAGAACGAGAAAACATGTACTTGCCCGTAAGATGTGGAATGGGGGAATACCATGGGGAAACTTGGTGGTTGGGCAGGCCCCAGCTAATCAGTGGAAATGGGCCATCGTGTGAAGCGTTTCTTATGATTATAGGTTTTTGATAGTTTTCTCCGATGATTGTTGTTGAATATGTAGTTCACAAATGGTTATCAGAAAGTATAATGTAATAAACAAACCAAATAAATTTGTGCATGAAAGGATCTTGTTTTAATGTGTTTCGTATATTTCTACCCATATTCTTGTATATATGTTGTATGCAAAACTTGCTGTGAAGTGTAGAGTTAATGAAGCAGGGCAAGGTGAAGCATGGGGGTTCATGTTTGTGTTGACAGGTTAGAAAGGTAAACATTTGGGGCCATTAGAAGATAGTGAAGCATAAGCCACTGGGAAAAGCATTGCTCGAAGTTCATGTCGGCCTCGGCATGGAAATTGTGGGATTCGCGTGTGTTGGGGGACCCTAAGTGTTGGCAAGAATGTGAGATCCCAGTGTAGCTAAGCGCAGGTGGGAAACGTCCTGTGGTAGTTCAGTCAGTTGCTTTCAGTCGGGCTAGTTGTGTGGAGATGTTTGAGTCCAGTGGGGGCATGGACTGTGTTTTAACAATGTGGTTTTATTCTGTGGAGCTTGTGTGAACTTTGGGATGACTGGTGGATTGCGAGTTGGACTTCGTAATTAGTCAGTGCGATTTTCAAGAATAGAACAGTGTCGGTCATGTGTATGAAGTCAACACGGTTGCAGCTGTGTCACCTTGGTTGATTGGTATCCTTAAGGGCACAGCAGGTGCTGGGGAACTTTGTGTGTGTTGACCAATGTGACAGGAAGGTATTAGAGGCTGATTAATGGGATATTAGTCAGTGATGCTTCAGTGAGTGGCTGGGGTAGCAGACGGAAGGTCTGGAGTTTTCACCAAGTAGTGCATCTACCCCGAGTCTTCGGGTGGCCAGTCATTTATAGGACAAACCATCAGAAGATTCTCACTGCATATCACATAGGTGTACTGCGCGATCAGACATGAGTTGCACATCAGACACGCACTCAATGGATACGACAAGACTTCCCCGCCAAGCCCTCATATGGACAACGGAAGGGAAAAGAAAATGGGAAAGACCAAGAGAGGCCCTGAGTAGAATCATCAACAGGAAGGCTCAACCATGGGCCTAACGAACATCCAAGACCTAAAATAGGTGGCAAAGAACCACCAGGCATAGAGAGCTATGACCTCTGCCCTATGCACCACCCTAGGCCCAAGAGAAAAGACTAAATATTTCTAGTATATTTTCCAATTTATTTGCAAGTATGCTTGTTTGCGGATTGGAAGGTCATGGGTTTGGGTCCTAATGGAACCAAACTTTTTTTTTAAAATGACTTTGGCTCCCAGGTCGACCCAACCTTGGGTGGGTACCAGGTATAATCCTGGGAAGCAAAGGTGACTGACATGATGCTGACCATACCACCCACTGAGTTGATCAGTCTACAAAATACAGGTCTAGCCCTATATGAAGGATTGACCATTATGCTTAGAGGCGGGAAAGGGGGTCCTTTACTTACTTTATTTTGCAAGTAGGATATATCATTTACACTTTGTTTCTACACCTGATTCAAACATACAATATTTTTTCTTATTTTACCGAATTACTCTATCTCGATAATTCTTTTAAATGACACTGTCACACAATCACCTATTATCACTGTTTACTGACTGGTTACTTTGCTTTTTAAAATATCAATTTCCCTGAACCAAAACTATCTAGATGTGAGGATTCCACCCAAATTCACCACATGAGTTTTGCTGATACTGTCAGCGTTAACCACACACAAGGGGTTCTTTTTTAGTTGCTGAAATACAGCATTCACAAATGATTGAAACATTCTTGGCATTAGATGTTAAGACCACACATACCCACATATGGTACTGGAAAGTGCAGGTGTTACAACAGTTTTCTTTCAAAAAACAAATTGTAATAAACAAAATGTTCATTGTCATATTTATTTATGATTTTCTGACTAAACATAATCATAATAAGTACCAGCACACATACCACAATGGGTTGGTACAGATGAAGAATAGTCAAATCCACACACAACACGTAGCTTTAGACAAAAAGATTTGGAGCACAACAAAGCAAATTAAAACTTAATTAAAATACACGTCTTGTCTCTTTGCAACAAACACAAAAGAAACCACACTATATACCTACAGTTTATAACCTGTATTCTTTGTTTCCAGAACCACATAAGTACTAGCACACATACTACAATGGTTTGTACATATGAGGAACAGTCAAATCCACACTTAATTAAAGTACACTTCTTGTCTTCTTTAGAATTGCAACAAACAGGCATAAAAGAAAACAATCTATGGTTTGTAACTTGTATTCTTTGTTTCTAGAACCACCTACAATGAATATGATAAACATGATTGCTAATATTGTAGCCACAACTGTGATAATCTTGTTCATCCAAAAACATCTTGTACTGTACAGGAAATATGAAGTTTGCTTATTTGTCACCATCGGCGAGTTTTTTCAATTTTCGACCGGGTATAGCAGTTAAGGCTTCCTTCCAGGACTTCTTGTTTTTCAAAGCAACCATTATTTTAATCATCTGGTCCAGCGTCAGGTTCTTACTTCCCAGGCCCCAGCTGTTTAAAAAGAAAAAAAACACATTATATTTTTATATATATTTTTATATATATATATATATATATATATATATATATACACACACACACATAAAGCATAATTAGTTAATTGGCTTCTTTCCAGAAGACAGTTTTATTGGGACGCATGGAAATCACAGCCCACGTGTCTAGCAAGATCTGCTAGCATTAAAAAAATTTTTAAAACGCCCACAGCACAGCGACAATGTGCTGGCCATGCAGCAGGATTCCTCTTTCAGAATGTCATGTTTACTCCTGTATCTTTGGTACAAAGCCTGCAGCAGAAGCTGTTGGATCAGAAGAGCAGTACTTTTCCTCCTAGACCAAGATTAGGGGGCCTTCAGTATAAGAAATATTTTATTGAAGAAAAAAAAATGTAGGCTGAGTATCTAACTTCATTTTTATACAGCAGCAACAGACACTTGGATAATTTAAAAATCTAAAAGAATACTTGCAACTATGAACCTCTTTCAACTACAAGTCAAAACAGGGAAGATGCAATGGTACAGACAGGCAATGATATCTAACAGCCTCACAAAAACAATACTGCAGGGCTCAGTAGAGGAGAAAAAGCAAACCAAAAAAGACCTGGAACCATGAAGTTCACTGCGCCTGACCATCAAAGGTGGAGGGGGCTGATCAGACTGTCAAAAGCAACTTGTGACCCAATGACACAGTGTTACGGGATGATGACGATATTCTGAGAAAAGGAGAATAGATCAGGAAACAGAAACAAGATGCCAACGAGACAGTGCACTTATATACCAACTTACACTATTATTAAGGCATCCGAACATAAGTACGGGTGCAAAAATTAAAAAAAACACACATTATAAACAGCATATTCATACCAACAGTATGCTACAGATGCCAGCCTTGACATTATCAAGGCTAACCTAGGTCAAATTAAGATGAAATGAGATGTCAGAGAAAGCCGCCAACTTAACCAACTGAGACAAACTTAGAACATGATCTGATAGACTGAGGGAACAACATGTAGCAAGTTCACAGAGAACCAGAAGATAAATGGATTGGTCCTCTAGTCAGAATGCAGCCGGAACAACTACCAAAGCAGGCGCTACACATGAAAAGATCTGAAGTGAAAGCAAGAGATTGCACAGGAGAAGATAAGACAGCTGACATTAAAGACAGAATGACAAAATCCATTTTTTGCCCATCAAGGATTGGGTCACAAGCTGTTTCTCCTCACAACACTCAACAGCAGAAGTGGAAGATGAGGATGATGACTTCTGACGTTTCCAACTTCAACAACTTTACCCATTAACATTATCATGCAGAAAGATGATACTTTATCTTCTATCTCAGTGAGCGGAATGGCTAAGAATTTGGTGCCCATCTCTCCATGAGATGACCAGGTACAAATATAGTGTCATAGGGCCCTATTTCATCCGCAGTTAGCATGTTGGAAAAGTTGACTAACTGGGGGTTTCCTTCAAATTGGAGTGCATCTGCCTGAGAGGCAAGGAACCAACAATCTGCAAACAAATAAGTCTGATAAGTTAAATGGATGTGTATGCAACACTCATGTTCTGGAACAAGACTAAAGTCCAGAGGTGGATGAACAACCAAAACTTTCTGCCAGAGTTTACAGCTGGTGAACACGAAGAAGGAGAAAAAAAAATCTAGTTGTGGAAAATACACATTCCAACAACAACAACAAAAAAAAAAACCAAAGCTTGATTACCCCTCCAGCCATTCCATAGTACTTGGTCAGACGTGTAGCTTTCTCATATGAACAGAAAGCATGATTGCAATAAATTATACAAATATTAGAGGTTCACGGGCTAAATAATTTTAACAATATAAGAAAGTTTCAGGATTTTAAAGACCTAATACTAGTGTATGAATTGTGAGGCCCTGAAGGACTATTGACATGGTTCCTTTGTAGCATGCAAAGAATCCCATTGTGACAACTAGAATACTGACTGAGGGTTTAAAAGACATAGAGGGAACATTTGGAGAGATGGCCAAGTGGCATGGCAGTTCTTCAGTTCAACTTTTAACAAGTACAAAGTTGTATCGACATATAATAGCATGTGTTGAAAAAACAACCACTGACTCATAAACATTATATCCTGGACACTGAAATCCTTCACCCATATTAAAGTCTATACTAGTTTAGAAAGAGCAGGGTGCAACCACCTCTTTCTGAGGAGAATGGCACTGTGAGGAGTTACCAGGAAATCTGGCCGAGGATCAACACTCAGGGGAAGGATGAGACGGATATACAATCAGACAGTCACCGACACCACAAAGGGAATAGTTACACAGATGAGCTATTACTCACTCTAGCTGCTCATCCAGTGGAAGTCGCTGACATTTTATGTTGTACTCTTTTGCTCTGGCATAGGATATAGGCAGCATTGTTGCCTTATCATTGAAAGCTCCAATAATGTATACAGCTGTAGGGTCAAACTCTTTCATTACCTGCAGATATACATGTCACAATAAAAGGAAAATGTGAATAATAAAGTTCATGTGCGTGTCCCAGGGCTAGACAGGGAAAGAAAAAAAAAATAAGGGGTGAGGGTGGCCACCGCCTCTATAACAGACATTTTTAAACGGTGACTAATTACAGGTTTGAATCGGATGTGTTCAGCAGAGAGGCCAGATATTACAGCCTTATTCCTCTTTTTATGGTATCATCATCATTATGTGCCCTGCCAGCTGGCGTAGGCGCTCATGCGTCTTCACAGATCACGATCCCTGGTTGACTGGAACAGCTCTCTTGATGATATCCTTCTCTGCCATAATTTTAGCCCATCCAGCATCATCTCTCTTGGTCTGCCTCTACTTCTTTTTTCACTGATCTTGTCCAGTTGTCATGATGTTCTCCAATGTCTCTCTTCTCATTATTTGACCAAAGAACAGTGTTTGTCATTTTCTTATTGTTGTATACAGAGATCTACTTTCATTAGCCTCTTTAAAGCAATCGTTGTTAGTTACTTTGCCGTCCAAGGTATTCGTAACATTCGTCTCAGAAACCACATTTTATGGTGTAGATAAAAGAATGTAGATTGCCTCATTTCTGATGAAGATAATTGGTTCTCTCTAAGAGTTAATTTCTACCAACACAACATTCATTTTTCTAACTATCCAGGAAGTTCATCATTCAACTATAATGCAGCTTCTACAGAAAGTTTCATTTATTAGCTGACAATCCATTAATTTCAAAAATGTTCTAAAGCTGAAACTTTCTTGACCCCGAGTTGTTCATATTGAGGATACTCAAAATAAAAAACTTAATTAAACAAAAAACGTACCTGTCTGGCATTCGGTGAGAGGTACACTAAATTTTCCCTTTCAAACAGATCCAAAAAGCTGTTCTCAGTCACAGTTGCCAAAATATCTTGTTCTTCTTGTTGCAGATATTGAAACAGCCTAGCAAGCAATATATATATGTTGGGAATTCACAAATGAAAATAATAAAATATGTATGTAGTGCATATTATCAGCCGACTGTCCAGAAAGCCATGGCAAACTACTGGACGAAAATTTGCCAAGAAAAACCTCACTACAGCCAGGGGCTGTTGGGATTAGTTCTGAAACATCCTGTAAAGAATAGGCAACTAACCTTTATATTATCAGACAAGTATATTAGTATGTAGTATTATATTAGTTGTAGATAAAAGGATAAGAAAATGTTGACACAGACAGTCTGTTCTGAGAATGTTATGATAAGGAATAGGCTCAAGAAATTAGTTACAGTTGGCTGAACGTTGAAGGCTGAACTAAGAATTGACACAGCACGCGGGACACTCCCATAAGCGCTCTGTCCCCATCGTCAGCAGCAAGCGAAGAGTGGTTACAGTTGGCAAGACTGATCAAAAAAGAAAAGGGGAAGGCAAAGAATAATACAATAAATATAATAATATAATACTTGAAAAGTTTAGCCATATCTGAGAAGGCAAAACATGACAGCCTACACATACTGATACATCAGATGATGATGATGTACATCTTGGTTCTCGACAGGCAAAAAAAAAAAAAAAGGTTGTAGGAGACAGGCAAGGATCTTATTGATAAGATATTTTTAGGGGAGGATATAAATAGGACAACAGTGGACAGGGAATGTGTGGAAAGATTATGACAGCATCATAGGGATTCCAGGTTACTTGTGTTCTCCAAATTCACCGAGCAAATGCTCCCACAAATTTCATGTGACCCACGTATTTACACTAACCTCTGTCAACCCTCTCATGATCTCATGAATATTAATGTGCACTTTCACACTCTTGACCTGCTAACATACTATATGAGTGACACACACACAGCAGCTTACCCCTCCCCCCCCCCACTGAACAAGGTACTAAATGTTGTTGCTCACTCGCAGTAGTCATTACACCGATATTCTGTCAATATCGCAGTAGTCATTACACCGATATTCTGTCAATAATCCAGTCACATGAGTCAATTTATTAACATACAATATATTCAAGTATGTAAGGGTGCTAAAGGATGTATGGGTGTTTGTGTGTGAATGGGTGACTGAGTATGATAAGGCGTGCGTGTATATATATATATACGTGTTTGTGTATGCGTTGGTGTTTGGGCCTTGTAGAAATGTCAGTCTATGTATGTATATGTTGTATTCAGGCGTGGGTATGTATGTAATTATGATTGAATTCGTATACATGAGTATGTGTGTGGATGTTTATTTGAATGTGTATCTGTAAATGTATGCATGAGAGTGTGGATTGGATTCATGTATGTGTGTGTAAATAAAGGTGATTGTGCATGTGTGTGTGTATACATATATAGTAATATACATATAAGAGTTTCAGTGTATGTATGTGTACGCCCGAGTGTGGGCGCTTTCATGAGCATGAGTGCATGTACGTACGTACGTACGCACGAGTGTGCTTGTGTCTGTATATGTATGGGTAACTGAGTGTATGTGTGCATGTCTATTTGGAGTGTGTATGATTGTGTATATGCATTTTTATTATGTATATTTTTTATATACACATAACATGCATTACTGATAAGATGCAATTGTGATATGAAAGATGAGTGCTTGGAAGGGCTGAATGTAAGCGAGGCCTGCGTGCCCCTTTTGTAACCCTTTGAAAATAAAGTATGTTCGCTCATTTGATCAGTTTACAAGATTAATTAATTGTAGAAAGTTATGATAATTTAAGACACATTGATAATACTATGCACACCAAAATTAATGAGACAAAACTCCACAAAATACATTAACTCTTTGAGTCCCAGGGGGTTTAGCATGACAAGCCCAAGGGGTAGTCAAGAGAGACGTAAAATCGGCACATTATGCATTCATTGGGCTTCTAGGTAGGAATCTATGAAGGTATGATGCGTTCCTTGGGACTCAAAGAGTCAAGATAGCAAACCTGTTGCTAGCTCTCAAATAAAATTGGCTACTAGTGCCAAACATGGATGTTCAAAATAAAAGAGGAAAAAAAAAACATTTAAAGAGGAAGGAAATGTCTACAACAAATCTTAAATGCAATAAGAAGAGACTGGATCAGAAAGTATGATATCAGGAAACAAGTGGAAATGGAATTAGTGTTAAACTACACCAAGAAACAAGTCAAATGGTTCAGACATGCATCAAGGCTGCCATGTGATAGTATACCACATATGCCTCTTCAAAAGCTGATAACAAAAGATAGAAGAGGACCACAGAAAAGATGTCTAGACACCGAAGAATGTCAGTATTTTCCCTTTTTTTGTGTGTCTGATGATATTCTATGAATCTTCCTGTAGCATTTAAAATGAAATAAACCATTTCCATATAAAATCTGTCACAACGGACAGCGGAGACAAAAATTACCTTAAAATAGCATTATCTTCAGGGCAACTGGTAAGATGAAGATGAAATGGTGAGGCGTCATTCTTGTTTAAATTATAAACACTCTGTAACTGTGATGCTGTGTTTTTAACTTCCTGCATGCGCATGTGTGTGACGTAATCCATGTCAATGACCAGTGGTATGCCATACATCATGGAGGAAGCCAAGCGATGATTCTGCCACCTAAACATTGAACCAAAAAATATTTTAACACAGTTAAACACTAAAAAACACTGGAGTGGATTCATTCTAGATGGTTTCAGGAGGAGAGTCTGCACAGAACCAATACTGAACTTTACAAGTAGACGACAAATCAAATGGTTTCACCACATAAGACTGGTTTCAGACAGGACACCACAGAGAGCAATGTTATACAGATACAGCAGTAACAGAGCCAGAGGTCAACAACACAGAATATGAGCCACAGAAATATGAGAGACACTGAAAACTACTGTACATAAAGTGAACAGAAGGCCTGTTTAAGAGACCTCATTCTGCCATGAGGGATTCCAGGAGCAGAGAAAAGAAGAAAAAAGAAACCTAAAATATTGGAAACAAGTTCTGGGTGAGCATTTACAATTATGGTTACCACTTTTTTTCACATTACTGGCACAATGATGCTTGACCCATCTCTCCCCCCCATATTTTTAACAGACCAATGAGCATTCTATAGGTAATCTTGTCAACATCACACTGGTTACCATTACTTCCTAAACTATTTCATAGTACCTATTTGAGGCCGGTCTGACCCAGCATCACTAGGTCAACTACACGAACCTGCCTTCATGTAGACTCTGAACTCAAAGACTTTTGGATCAGAAGTTAACTGTCAAGCTGCACTGCAGCATTGTATGTACAAATAAACTACACGAATGTATAAGCTAGAAGACCAAAAGTTACAGTGATAATAAAGTGACATAATGCTTTCAAACTTGTAAAACTAAAGTTAATGGGCCTTACAGGAATCAATTCCACAAAATAACATGGTAGCAAATTAGTTCCTTCAGTCCCAGGCTAGTAGTACTTAGCTCCTTATACCATAACAAATAATTACTTTATTTAATAAATGTATTAAATGTATACGAAAGAGAATCCAACCATGTGCGAAATTAGATATTCGAGAAAGGTTGCAAACAAAGTAGAAGAGAAAATGTGAGACACGAAAAAATTACAAGAACTACTGGAACAACGCCTATAATTAAATTCATTTTAAAACGAAGATCGAAATAATTTGGCAATTTCATGAAAATGAATCCAATGACGAGAGTGTACAATATAAAAGTAGAAACACCAAGAGGTAAGGGACAACCAAAAAAAAAAAAAAAGAAGATGATGGACTGAGGGAGTCACTGATACCTTGAGACCACACAGCATACCGGGCACAGACTGTTGGTTCCTTGCCTCTCAGGCAGATGTACTCTGACTCTCAAGGAAACCTAGATCCTATATATGTTGTTTACCAACACCACCCTCCCCACAGGTTGGGAATTGTAATAAAAATAAGTCTTGATCAGTCTATGCCCTGTTCTTGGTGGATCATGTGTGGTTCAGCACCTCTGCATACCCTCTGAATAACAAAACTATGGGCTGCAACTGACCTTTAAAACTTTGTACCTTAAAGTTTATAAATAATGAGTTAATAAAATATCAGAGAAATGTTTTTAAGACCAAGTTAAAGAAGAATACCTTTTCATTGTGCTCTCATAAATTCGAATGAAAAGGCGCCCATGCTCATAAACTGGTGTTTTCTCTCTTTCTTCGGGCACCAGCAACTTTTTAGCAGCAGTTTTCTCTTTTGCTGACTTCCTAATATTTGAACGTTTGGCCAGAAAAGTATAGTACTTTAATCTTTGATTCTTTGAATCCAGTTTCATTGCTTCTAGCCAATACTCGTTGAGCATTTCTTCCGAACTCTGAAACAAACCATTAGTTATCATTACAATGTTATTCCCATTAGCAGCGCAAGATACAACCACTTCCGTATGCAGGCGCTTACACATGCATAAAGAATAAGAAATGGTTTAATACACGCCAAACATGTGGTCATTTAATAATTGATCAGGTCAGCGTTTTTGTCTCACCCCCATCCATATGACAGGTTCAGTGCTCTTTCCATAAATCTTGCTGCTAGTTGTGAAATCATGACTAGTTTTGGCATTCCGAAGGAGTTTGAAATTGATTTCCTTCTTGGCAGTGACGATATCCATTCTTACTATAGTGTGATCGTCTGTCATCAGAGAACATGAGACCATGATCAGCCATTTGTTGTTTCCAAAATTACTATAGGTGTGTCACCTATAACTGATTCATTCCTGTGCCAGTAGAAATCACTGACCCTTTAGAAAACTATGAAAAACTTGTGAGCCCCAGCAAAATCTTGAAGCTCGCAAACAAAAAGTATAAATGCATTTGTTAGATGTGGCCGCACTAATGGTCCCACGCCAGAACTGCAGCTCACTTTTGGTGCAAGCAACCAATCCTGAAAGCTGGCATTGCACCCATAAATGACTACACCATTCTGAACAAAAACAGCCACCCACCATGTTAGTGCAGTTCACAACATGCCTTAAGGCGAACACAAAACACATTCGACAGGAAATTCACAGCGGCAAGTACTTAACTCAGTAGCTGGGTGACAGAACTTGGTGTGTGTGCACACACCGATATCTATTGTAAGAGGAGGGTTATCATTGCCCAGACAATGAATGGACCCTATTGCTGTGCAGAAACTAACCTAGCAACTGAAGGAAGGATCTGCAATGGCCTCCGGTATGATGAAGCTTTCTGGCTGCTAATAACAAGACCAAACCCCCCCCTAATTTTATTGGTCCTGAGATATGCTTCATAACCTTCTCAGATGGGAGGAAAAACAGATGCAATGATTAAATCATGCCCAATAAAACATCTATGGCACTGACAATTAAAAATAGCAGGCAGCCACGGTTTAATAATGTCTGTTATCTTGGGTGGTCTTGAGGAAGTAAGAGTTATACAAATATATGCCAAGTGGGAAACATCAACATATGGGGTGCAATAACTAGGTGTGGTGATTTCCTTCAAAAAGGTCTTTTGAAGAACACCACTTTTATCATGGCACACCAGAAATCCACGCAGTTTCCTTGTCCAGTTTCCTGTGTCATGTATTTTCATGGCCAGAGTGCCCCTGATCTACTGTGTCCACGGCCCTGCTGACTGAGCCTGTGCTTTTCTTCCATAAATCACACTCCACTACTGTTCTTTCCAAACCATTCATACTATACCTCAAGGTAAAAAGGAAGTGAAAACTGGAGAGAGAAAAACTATACCAAGAAATTAGATAACTCTAGTAAATAAATAATTCTGCTGCAGCATGTTTCCTAAACATTTATAACAAAATATAATTTAATAAAAACAGTAGGAAAACATAACTATCTCCCAGACTTTCTTTTCTTCTTAGCATTCACTGGCTGTAAACTTTTGTGGAAAGTTCTGGATGTTTGTTTAACTCTGGACTTTGAGCTTGTTCCACAACTTGAGTTTTGCATGCACACAATGTTACACATCTGGCTTAATTTATATGCAATCTGCTGGCTCTTCGCCTCTCAGGAAGATGCGCTCCAATTCCGATGGAAACACCATTAATTAGTTGTCTTTTTATGACATTCTTGGGGGGGGGGGGGTGAGGAGTCTATCCCTTCCAATGGGAATGAGGCCCCATAACTCATACAGGGATTTTAGACTTTTAAGCCACAATGCTTTCTTTCCTGCATATTCTATCTGATTCACGAAAACACTTACGACTAAAAGGTGATGATATATAAATATTTTCATGGTTTCAGGTTTGAACAACAGAGCAATGTCATGGCACACGGGTAGTAACCCATAAGTGCTCCTTTCTATTTCTTAATCAAGCCTGAGTCCGAAGTAGCTCAGCGCAGTGGCTACACAGCACCGGCGAGGATCCTGAAATATTTTGGGTAGATTTTCAACTCTAATTTGTTCCCGGGCAGCGCCGTTAGGCTACGCTTTTCGATTTCCAACAGCCAAGGCATTTTTTTTTTGGTGCGCAACAATACACAAGGGCATCCCATCTTACTACACAGAGATCAGGGGAAATTACTAGAAGTCCACGTGAAAAAACCCAGCCCTCACCAGCACATGAGGCAGACACCATACCTTCTTAATAAAAAAAAAAAATATATAAATACAAAAAAAATATATATATAAAATATTTTCTGATAAAGCTTTACATTAATTACTCAGTAGATAGATAGATAATTCTCTCTACATACACACTACTCATTTCATAAGGGCTCCGACCCGTTCCTTGGTATATCTATCATATTTATGAAAATTAACTAGCTTGTGCTAGTCAACCACCTTCATTAGCCTTAAGTATAGTACTCTTGTCTGGCTTTACACCTTCTGACATGTTCTAAAAGCTTTACATTAATATAATCTCCAAACATCTATTAACTTTTATGCACTCAAGACAGATATAATTCAATAGCTGTGGAAAGTACTTCAACTAAGAGCAGGATACTGATTTTAAACCTTCATTTTGCCTGCGCCAGGCTGTGAAAAGTCAGAAGCTTAAACCTCAACATCCATGACAGGACATACAATTACCAATAAATTTCACACATTCCTTAATTTTCTAAGTAGAACACAGGGATTCCAATGGTATGACACAATCACCAATGTGCAGCTCGTGGACAGGGTGAGACAGCTTATGCAATAAATCCCTGTCAGTGAAGGTTGAATATAAAATGCTTGCATGTTATACAGAACCAGCTTCAACACATGGTTATTAAACCATGGATAAATAGTATACAAGCTATACACAACAATTCAGTGAGGTTTCAGAAATACAGTTGCCATCCACTGCATAAACTGTCAGGTGTGTGCAACTACCTATTTAAGGGGTAAGCTAAGAAATTCTGAGTAGATCTACCTACCATGCTGTTTAAATATTCTTTTTCATCTTCGCTTTCACCAACTGTAAACTCCGGCAGAAAGTTCTGGTTGTCCGTCCACTTCTGGACTACAGTCCTGTTTCAGAACCTGAGTGCTGCGTGTGTATCTGTTCTACAGATCTGACTTATTTGTATGCAGACTGCTGGTTCCTTGCCTCTCTGACTTCGAAGGAAGCTCCCAATTAGTCGACTCTTACGATGTGCTTTTGCGTAGGCAGTGGGTCTATTCTTATTTTCCCTATAATATGGCCCCGGAACCCACTCGGGAATGGTTTATATATTAAGTACCTATACATGTTTATTTCAACTGACTATATATCACATGCCTATAGGAATTATATACTTACAGGAATTAGGTATCCCTCCGAATACAAGAAACTATGCTCCAATTGTATGACTTTCAACTTCTTCTCATCCTCCGGTCCTAGGTTGGCCACAATTTCGTCACATTTTGCAGCCACTATTTCTTTTACTTTTTCAGTCAAGTGTATGTTTTTATCTGAGCTTTTCTTTTTTTCTTCCAAGACCTGCTTCTTAAGCGTTTCAAGATCAATAGACTCCATTACATTTACATTTGTAAGATGTACAAAGCCTGTAGAAAAATGTTTCTTGTCCACAAATCTCACAGATTTGTGTCTGTAGTTTGGTTGCCCACACACCATGTTTCCAGGCAAGTGAGGTTTATATAACTGCCCATATGTTGACATACACTGTACAGGCAAATCATCTTTAAATGGATAGGAACTCATGAAATATGACCTCTTATGTTTAAAGAGCTGGTAAGAGCACTGACAGTGGCTCCAGATCCTTCTTAAAATAGTTTGTGCCATGTCTTGTCTGCAGCTTTCCTCTGAAAGATATAAAGAGAAAACAAAAGGCAATGTTTGTATATAGTGCATAGAAACAAATATGTGTATTAGCTGGCTGTCTAACAATACTGAAGAAATAACCATGACACTAAAAGATGTACCGCAGCAGCCACAAAAAGCTATTCACTTATGCTGGTGTCATAATTTAACAATAATTTAGAAAATGCTGACTGAAGCAAAGTACCTAAATTAATAATATGTATAATCTGTCAATATTTTTAGATATGAAGTTTCAATATTTTTTGATCTGTCATAAAGATACATAACTTTGTCACTGTGTGTCAAGACAAAACACAAACTGCACAGTAAGTGCAAAAACATTTCAGTACATACACACTGACTCATGTAGTTGAAATCAAGAAGACTTGACACTTACACCGCAACCTACCTTGACAGTGAAACAAAAGCAAGCAATCAATCTTGCATAATTATAGTAGCTCCCTTTGACCTTTGCAGAACATAACAAGTCTGTGAACTGTGATCTTGACTCTGACCGGCCTTTACTAACTAGTAACTAGGCAATTGTAATTTAGTTTGTTGTCGATGATGAACCTAAGCTGAAACAGTGAAAGTCAGAGTGACCAGTCAGTTGTCCTTGTTCTTGACGCTCATTCATCCAGCCATGATTGATAATTACATTACATACCTGATGATGTCAGTCGAAATCAGCGCAGAGACAAATTGCCTGCAGTCTGAGTCTAATCGTCCGGACACGTTATAGTAATTATCATTCAATTATAAACTTCTTCTTCTTCACTTCCTCTTTTACCGCTGTGGGTGTCGAGGGAGATATAAGGTTCTGTTTCTAATTCTTCTGGCCGCCTCGACCATAGGCAGATCGTGCTGTTGTAGAGTTTCTCTGATGTTATCCTTACATCTTGTTCTTGGTCTACCTCGTGCTCTACGTCCTTCTTCTCTTTCCATGTATGCTTTGTATGGTATGGTGTCACAAGGCATTCTCTCTAAGTGGGCAAACCATTTCACTAGTATGTAATCCAGAATTGGTTCTGTGCCGACTTTTTCTCTTATGATCTCATTCCTGATCTTATCTCTTATGGTCACCCCTACAGCCCTTCTCAGACATCTCATTTCCATGATTACTAATTTTCTTTTAAGGTTTGTTGTGAGTGACCATGTTTGGCACTGGTAGCACAGAGTTGGAATAAATATGCTTTGAATAAGATGTCTCTCTGTGCTGATTGGGATTGTCTTATGCTATAAGAGAGGGGCTAGCTTCCCAATACTTGGTTTGCTTTACTTCTTCTTCTTTGCGTTCACCAGCTGTAAACTCTGGCGTAAGGTTCTGGTTGCTCGTCCACTACTGAACTGCAGTCCTGCTCCAGAAGCTAAGTGTTGCATGTGCATCAGTTTTACAGATCTCATTCTCTTGAATACAGACTGTTGGTTCCTTGCCTCTCCGGCAGAACTGCATCTAATTTTTATTTCTTTATCCAATTTTCCATCTTCGGTAAATGTAGTTCCCAGATATTTAAACTCAGATGCCTGTTTAATGCCTTTGCACTCTATTGCTATGTTTAGATCTGTCTTCTTTTTTCCTATTGACATTACTTCTGTCTTTTCAGTGTTGATTCTCATATTATTTGTTTTACATTCTTCATTCATGGATGTTAGATGTTGCAATTTCATGGCTGTATCTGCTATCAAGGCCTGGTCATCTGCAAAGAGTAATTAATTGATCTTACTAACATTTTTATTCATGGGCTTGGCATTCTTGCATATACTGTCGATGTAGGTGATAAACAGCAGTGGTCTTACTCCAGATGTCACTGTGAATGGATGAGATATTCCCTGATTTATTCTAACTACACTTCTACAATCCCTGTATAAACTTTTGCACACTTCGATGAGGTGTTCGCTTACTCCATATCTTGCCATTACGTTCCATAATTGTCTGTCGACTCTGACAAATGCCTTCTCCTGGTCTACGAATGCCACAGATAAGTTTTTATTGTATTCAATGTTCTTTTCTATTAACTGTTTAAGTGTGAAGATTGCATCTGTGCAGCTTCTATTTCTCCTAAATCCCATCTGTTCTTCTGCCAGCTGCGGTTCTATCACTGGTCTCAGTCTTGTTTCTATTATTTTGGTATACATTTTGCCAACATGGCTTAAAAGAGAGATGCCTCGGTATTGACCGCATTCTCGTTTGCTTCCTTTGTTCTTCCACAATGGTATAACTATTGCATGTTGCCAATCAATAGGGGCAGTTTGTTGTACCCATGCTGCATTAAATATTCTGTGAAGCCATCTGATGCTGCTTTCACCTGCTGCTTGAATTATTTATGTTGGTAATCTATCAGCTCCTGGTGCTTTATATTTGGGAGACTGCTTAATGACTTTTTCTATTTCATCCATTAGTATGTGTGGTTCTAACACTGTTGCTCTGTGCTCTTCAGTTGTTCTTTCCTGATGATCTCCTAGAGGATTAAAGAGCTCATTGAAGTATTCCCTCCATCTTTCTGCTATCTTGGGTGGATCTATCAATGGCCTTCCTGTCTTATCATTAATTATTTCAGTTGGGTTGTAGCTCTCATCTTTTTTCCGCATATTTTTAACTACTTTGAAAAATTTTCAGCTGGCTGTTTTCTCATTTTCGGCTGACTCACCAAAACTTTCCCAGGATGCTTGTTTTGCTTTCTTGACACTCCTGTTGGTTTCTCTCCTTTGCAGTCTATAGTTGATATAATCTTCTTCTTTCTTTGATTTTATCCACTGTTTATATAAGTCCTTTTTCTTTTTAATTGCTTCTTTAACTTCTTCGCACCACCAAGGTGAATATTTGTTATTTCCCCGTCTGTTTCCACTCTTCCGTTTTCCACATAATCATAATTCTTCTGTTCTGCAATACTAAACAATTATTATTATAAACTATTTACATTAAATTAATGCTTACAAGAAAGTAAATGTATAATATTAATTCAATTATGTCATGAAATACCACACGGCCTCTGAAGTAAGTGAAGTGGTCTAGACTACACTGTCAGTGAACTAAGCGCTAACGACTGATCTCACAGATCAGACACACACTGCACAGAGATCAGAGACAGACAGTTCTGAGTTCGGTTCGCACACGGTCACAGAAGAACCAGGCGCCTGACACACTCAGTCACACTGGCTACGTTTACCCAAATAAAAACATAAGGCTTTAAAAGTGACATACAAATTATTGTTTACTAACTGCACAGCACAACAGCCAAGTGTCTTTCACAAAAGAAAGAGCTCCCTCTTTTTTGCGTCGTTTCAATTCTTCGACCTGACCTACACAAGCAATGCTTTCAAGGAAGCTGCCATTTTAAGGAAACAGAATCCAGCAATTTTACGACACTACCTGTTAAACAATTGCATCCATTTTATTGCAAATCTTAGGTTTATGCTTTTGTATGTTTGCCAAATTGTTAACTTTAAAAGAAATAAAGGTACATTTAAAGTTTGGCTCTAAAATCTCAAAATCGAAACTTGTTGCTCGAGTCAGGTTAACGACATAAATATTGACAGGTACCTGGTGGCGGTAATTGACACACGCCCCTCCAATGGTGAGTGTCTGGTCAGGATCCCGTGAGCGGAGAAACTGAAACATTTCATTTTTCAGTGGTTGTAAACGAAATAAAGCTACATGGCCAGTGTTTTTGAACAACGGAAATCCACTAAGGTTACCTTGGATGACACAATACCTCTGTCGTGTACGATAGAAACCGCACAGAAGAAAGAGGATCACATTGTGAGTTGTCATAATCACATAATCTAATCATAACAACCTGTTACTTAGCCATTGCAGTGGGTAATGTAAGTAAAAAGACCCTTTTCTGCGCATTTGGTACTAGCCCTGTATCTCTATAGACTGCACTAGATGCGTGATGTCACTGTTACGCCGGCTGCCTATACTTCCAAGAATACTTCCTGGTATCCATTTAACTCTTTCAGTACCACGCAACTCACCCATGTCTTTATTGGGTGCGTAGCCATGAAATGTTGTCTTGGTGTCTTCTCTATCCATCTATAGTTCTAACCATTTTTATCTAGTCTGCTACTGTTGCTCCCGTATGAGTAAATCAGGTAAGTAGTAAGCGAAAGACTTCTATCATGCCATTGGTGCATTAGAGTAATGGTTAAACTAGTAAAGTGATATGAAAATCATTCTCAGCCCCCCCCCTCCCCCCCCCCCCCCCCCCCCCCAGTGTGAAGGCAAGAAAAAACATTTTCCTGTCATCTTTTGTAGTAGTCTGCATTTCCAAGAATATTTCCTGGAATCCAATTTAGGTTAGGTATACTTAGGAATCTAAGTTCATTTCACCTGGGAATGAATTTCATGTGTCCATAGGTAGATAACATGGATGCATCAATTTATACTGCTTCCTGTCAGAGGGTTGTGGTAATGCATAATCACATATGTCAGCCAGCAAGCAACTTGTGTGTACCATTAAGAAAAATCTTAATTTTAGCATCAGTATTTTTTTGTATTTTTGTTAATGCTTGCTTATAGGCCGAATCTTTGCCTCATGCAGCATTGTAAACCATATATGTTTGATACCTCAGTTTTAGTCAGTGTTTATTTGCTGTTTTTACAGTATTTAACATTTATTGATTTCATATTTTAACATCTGCCTCCATTGTTGTCACCTTCTTTTGGCTTGATTGAGGCTTTTTTCATTCATTTATATTTATCTGGATTTTCAGCTGCTTTACGGGTTATTACTTTCATTATTTATATATCATACTCTATTCATAACTTTTGTTTGTTGTTTATTTTTCATTCAGTCATTTATATTTTTAAAGATGACTTTTGCTGGAGTATTATCCATGGGAGAAACAAATTCTCTGTTTGCATTGCAGGAGAATATTATCCTAGTTTATAGAGAAGCGAATTCTTTCTTTGCATTGCAGGAATATGTTATCCATGTTTTACAGAAACGAATTCTCTGTTTGCATTGCAGGAATATGTTATCCATGTTTTACAGAAACGAATTCTCTGTTTGCATTGCAGGCATATGTTATCCATGTTTGTACAGAAACAAATTCTCTGTTTGCATTGCAGGAGTATGTTATCACTGTTTGTACAGAAACGAATTCTCTGTTTGCATTGCAGGAATATGTTATCCATGTTTGTACAGAAACTAATTCTCTGCTTGCATTGCAGGAGTATATTATCCGCGTACAAAGAGGCCCACTCAGGGATCACTCATGGCAGATTAAAAAGCGCTACAGTGACTTTGAAAAACTTGATTCACAGCTAAAATTCACAAACATTGACCTGCCACTGCCTCCAAAGAAAGTATTTGGCAATTTTGACAGAGATTTTATTGCTGAAAGACAGAATGGTTTACAGGTGATTATTTTTTGTTACATGTCTGTGCTGTTAATTATAAGGAAAAAACTGTATACACGAGGGAGATTAACGGTTGTAGACCACGAGGCCGACCAAGAAGATGATGGAGAGAAATAATGTCCAGGCAGATCTGCAAACACTTGGTGTCACCAACTGGAAATAGAAGGCCAACCAGAGAGATGAATGAAGGTGGATGATATCTGCAGCAATGAACCTCAAGAGCTCAGAATATTGAAGAAGAAGAAATGCTGTTAATTATACATGAGTAATTTTTAAACAATGTGGAAAAATCACACTGTTGTTGTAGGACAGGGTTTAATGTATCATCACATCACCTAGTTGTTCCAGTTGAGCTGAGTCAAGAAATCACATCACAGCACTCAGGGCATTCCCATGTGTGCTCCACTCTCATCTTCAGCAGCCAGCGCAGAGTTCCAGTATTGATGTTACCAGGCACAATCTGGTTATATCTCCATCTTACCTTTCCTGTGAGTGTGGTGAGCTGGCCAGAGCCTCTGGTTACACCCAGGTGCCTCATTTTCTCCAGACATACTAATTTTGCTACTCTACTGATTCTGTTGCTTGTTACCAAAGGACCTTGACAACATCTGCTTTGTCCTGTATCAATTCACCACCCAATTGTACAGATCCAGCCAATCTGTCTACCTGTTCATTTACCACTACTCCGGCATGGCCTGGTTGTTTCATTATATGTCATATAGGACTTGCAGTCTGTTCCTCCATTCTGTTCTATCCTGTGCAATCTTTTCAATATCATGGATGAGTCAAGTCAGGGTATACCTGGGATATCCCCCGTGTGGGTTCCAGGGCCCCATTGTGGGGAAAACAAGAATAGACCCACTGCCTCCCCAAAAGCATGTCGTAAGAGTCGACTAATTGGGGAGCTTCCTTTGAAGTCAGAGTGCGTCTGCCGGAGAGGCAAAGAACCAACAATCTGTATTAAAGAGAATGAGATCTGTAAAACAACACTCAGGTTCTGGTGCAGGACTGCTGCAGTTCAGTAGTGGACGAGCAACCAGAACTTTCCGCCAGAGTGTACAGCTGGTGAACGCGAAGAAGAAGAAGACCTGGGATATTTGGCACTTATGGGGATGTATCCAGAAACATTTTAAATTTACTTTAGGCATCTCATCTCACAGGTGTTGATTTCACATGCACAAGCTTTTATAATGTTCAAGTTTGGCACTGATAGCTTAGTATTAGTAGGAATGTACTACATATAATAACTGCTTGACATCACACTTATTCATGGCTCTTAAAAACTTTTTTTTAGATATATATTTTAAGTTGTTTGTTCTTTTAGCCAGTGCCAAGTAATTTCTGTCATGGTATTACCACTGAGGCCTGCACTTACTATGCTGTATTTATAAATTTTAAGAGACATAGATATTTGATTACGCAGGATAAAGTAATTAAACATAACTAGTTAACTCAAATCATTTTTTCCCCACAGAGTTATTTAAATGCCATAGTCAGCATTCCTGTGATTTCCAGAAGCTTGATTGTTAAAAAGTTTCTAGACAGTAACAATTATTCATCCAATTTCATAGGTAAGGATTGTTTATATGTGTGTGTATCAATTTCAATATGGTAATAAATATTTGCTGAAGCATATATAATTTACTCAGTAGTTTCCATTTTTTTAAATAAATATATAAGTTATAATTCTTTAGAGGAGTTGCTGGCCAGATGGGTTAGAGCGCTGGGCTCTGGGAGAGGCCTGGGTTTGATCATCAGTGAGAAATTGAGATATTTTTTGTCAGGAGCTAGCCATGCGGCCTAAAAGCTTCTCAACTGCACCTCTCTTGTTGTACACTGCTCTAAAAGATATAGACAGTAATTTCATTTTAAGCAATACAATGGGTGTGAAATGTAAAGGTAATTTTGCGACACCCTGTATGAAACAAATGAATACTGAGATACCAGGTAGAAGAGGCAACAGAGCTATAAATCCAAAAATAAGTATTTAAAAAACATCAAACAGTAGGACCCTTTTTACATTTTTAGCGCACTGAGCATATAGTTAAAACTCATATTTTATAGACCGGTCAGCATTTTATGTGTATGTGGTCAACTACATTTACTTCCAGTCTTCTTGTGTGGTTGGCATTGTGTTATGATTTACAGTTTAGTCTGTGTTCTGAGGTTGTGGAAAGAACGAAGGCAATGAAATACCTGGGGATACATTTTGATCGAAGCCTTACTTATACTGAGCACATAGATAGGATTTTAATGAAAGCCAAGAGGGGTCTGGCTGCGATGAAAGGGATGGCAGCGGCAAACTGTGAACAGCATCATCTATGTCTTCTATACCAGGGTCTGGTCCTTTCTGTTTTTGAATACGCAATAGCGATCCTCACTCTCAGCCATGAGCAGATGGAAAGGATACAGAACAAGGCTATGCGCATTATACTTGGGAGTACAAGAGGTACAGCATGCAGGGCTATGGGCTAACTTCTCAATTTTCCTACCATGGAAGACAGAATAAAAATGTTCCGAGCTCGTGCCTATCTCACAGTCAAGGCGGACACACAACATCCATTACATAGTCAAATCAAGAAGATAAAGGGCAGCAGGTTAAAAAGAGGCCAGTCGTGGATGGGTCAAGCTGAGGATGTTATTTTACAGGTTAGTTCACTTGAGGACAAAGAACCTGGCCAGGAGTGGATGCAAGTGCCTTCAGATTGCTATACATCTTTTTGTTTGTTTGCATCCAACTAGACAGAAAATACAGACAACAGTGTCCGACTGCTGAGGAAGCAGAAGTTCAAGCCTTGATTTTTGAGAATGCTCTAGAGGGTGATGCTGTCATTTACACAGATGGTTGTGTAATCCACCCATGTTAGAAGCTCGTGGGCTTTCATGGCTCAGTTTGGAGGGAGAGATGTGAAGGAAGATTCTGGAGCTTTTGCCTTAACTGCAAGTAGTCTGACTATGGAAGTCATGGCTGTGACTAAAGCAGTAACATGGCTAGAGACACAGACTTTCACTGGATCATGCTTTCTCAGTGACTCAATGAGTATGCTCATGAAGATACAGAAGGGCTTGGTCCGAAGGCAGTGGTTGGTCTATGGCTCTACAGAATTCATGGCTGACAAGGATTAGTTTCATTTTTGTGCCAGGACATGTGGGGGTACAAGGAAATGAGCAAGCTGATAGGCTTGCAGGTAAGGCTACTGGGAAAGCCAGGACAAGCTGTGGACCAGGCTGATATAATGAATGCTCTAAGAGGGTTAAGACGTTTGCGTGAACCAACTGAGAGCTGTGAATCTGCAACCATGGTCAGACTGCAAGAACAAAATTTTTAAACGGGGTGTCGCCAAACAAGAACACTACTCGGGTAGCCAGAGAAGAATAATAAACCAGCGCATAACTGGTGTAGTTAGCTTCTACAGTCAGTGGGATTTACTGAGGAGGAGATCGAGCACTTATGGACTGATTGGTTCGACGTGCAGTGAGGATAATCTGTCAACTAACTTACTTACTAACAGCCAGGCTGTGATGTCTGCATCTTGATGCCCAACACATCAGTTTTTTTTAGAAAAAATTCTTATCATCTAATCTTTTATGACACGTAGTTAGGGGACAGTTGGTCTGCTGGCTTTTCCACCAAGCTGTGGCCCTGAAACCCACATGGGGAGACTTCCAATGACATGTCCTCATACCTATTTTTAGGTCAACGTGAGAATCCTGTGTTAATTAAATATTTTTGTTTTGATTGTCATTCACACTTTACACTTTTGGGTCAACAGGAAAAGTCTCTGTAAACTGCCAAACAAGTAAAAACCCCAAAATCAGTGAATACCTGTTTAAAAATGTTTGTTCAATTTCAGAAATAGCCCTTCAGCACGTGTCTATGCTCTTCCGATCAGAACCAAAATGGGATGTTATAGAGCCATTGCCAGACTTAGGTAATGAAAACCTGTTATCTTTTTTTAAAAATTAGTTGAAATTTCATTAACGTGTCAAATATTATGTTTGCATAATGTTTAATCTTTCTCTGTTTATCTAGTTTTAAACAAAATGCTCATTATAACCCCCTCTCCAGTTCCCCCCCCCCCCTTTCCCCCCATCTATTTGTTGTTGCATTTTAAATACAACAAATGTGTTTTTAAAGTTTGCATAATTCTGTCAAGAATTGTCCAGAAATGGTGAAAGAAATGAAATTATGTAAATTTATCTGTTTATTTTGTTTCTGTCTTGACAGTTTCTACTATTATACATCATCATCATGTGCCCAGTCAACTGGCATAGGCTTTCATGCATCTCCATAGATCTTGGTCCTTTGTCATCTGGATCAGTTCCACCGATGATATCCCTCAGTGCCACAGTCGCAGTCCATCCATCATCATCTCTCTCGATCTGTCTCTCCCTCTTTTACTGTTGAGCTTCCCAATCATCACAGTATTCTCTGAAGCCTTCCCCATCATCACATGAGCAACCCTCATACTTACTAGATTATTTTCGTTGGTGGTTTTTTTAAAGATGTTACACTTAAGTGTTATTGATACTTTATGTACTTTAATTCATACTATCCCATACCTTTTATTTGAACTTTTGTTGCTCATTTTTTGATGGGTGTATGGGTTAGGGATTGGAGTCAGTACAAATTCATGCATGAATGCTTTTACTTTAATAACGTACTTGCATATCCTTTACGAACTTAACAATCCAACCCCAGCATTTGTTGGCTGTTCTTGATTTTACTTTGCAGTTTTTATGTTTAGTTTGCCACTCGTTTCTGAATGGCTTAATATTCATAGCATTGTTGAAAATCACTGCAAACCAGTCTGATGCCAAATCACTTGAAGTTGAATTCAATGTATATTCCAGAATTATAAAACTGCATTTATAACAGCCTTTTCCTAAACTCCTCATTGTGGCGCGGTGATTTAGGTCACAGGCGTGAGGGGAAGTTAAGTCCAACATGATATGTATAAGGAGATACTCCGTACGTCACTCGGGCGCCAGTCTTTCACTGTTCTGGTTTTATGGAACCTCACGCAAGACCCCAGCAGCACGTCCTCGTCGTGCGCCACGGATAATGTCTCAAACGAGCATTAACAGAGCTGTCAGGGGATCTCAGAGTTTGGCGGCCCCCAGAGGTGATGTGTCCTTGTGGCTCTCATCAGCCCGCCCCCAAACGCTTGGGTGAAAAAAGTTATCAAAACTCATTAGGAACATGAGTATGCTTGCCAAACGTACAGCTAAAAATCACAACCCTTGGTTGAAAAGAATGCGGAGTGAAGAGAACATTGTTCACTGTACATCCTCTGTTAATCCTCAGTGTCGTCGTCACCGCGCTGAGGTACATCACAACAGCAACCATTTCTAGGCTGGCCATTTATGTACATCCTTGGTTAACCCTCAGTGTCATCGCCACCGCACCGAGGTACACCACAACAGCAACCATCCAGAGGATGGCCATCCATGTACATCCTCGGTTAACCCTTAGTGTCGTCGTCACCGCGCTGAGGTACACCAAAACAGCAACCATACATGGGCTGGCCAGCCATGTACATCCCCGTGTAACCCTTAGTGTCGTCGTCACCGCGCTGAGATACACCACAACAGCAACAGCCCATTGGCTGGCTAAGCCTACATGTCCGACAAAACTAGATCCTACGGCACACGAGTGAGCTCAAAATCTGACCTCCACAATTTGTACTGAACGGAAAAAGACCAAATGTCCACACCCAAAGACCCCACTCGCCCGAGTGTTGGGACCAAACTGATAACGCTATGCCTGACGCAGGATGTAAAATTCTGTCGGGCTAACGGCTCGTCAAAGAAATCTAACGTGCGGAGAAAAAAAAAGAGAAAAAAAAGAATGTGCCTATTCGTGTGGTCACAAAAGTCCAAAATCCACAGTCTGCTCCCTGCTGACCTCCAGAGGGCGCAGCTCTTGTCGAGCGGGAGGCCTGATACGGTTGTGAGGTTAAGCAGGCATGTGCAGGACGTGACGATTCCTTGGGTGAGCCCAGAACCAGAGCGCCATGTGCCGGCTCTGCATACATGGAAGCCTCCTTGAATGGCGGGGAATGCCCATGATCTGCCCCTGCCTTCCCTTGAGGGCTAACTGTTCCACAGGGGGCTGCCCCAAAGAGGTACTCCGGGGGCAATACCTGTGGAGAAGGAGACAAAGTGGACTCCACACAAATCAGGCAACGTCTTGACCCAAAGAAAACAATGGCCACAGTCAACCTAGAAATAGGCCTGACGTCTTCCTTCAAAGTGGGAGTACAGCTGCCCATGAGGCAGGAAACATTAAAACGGTTGTACACGCAAAAATCAGGTCCGGGTGAAAGTCAAAAGTCCAAGTGGACGATTAACCGTGACCTCCCGCCGGAATTCACAGCCGGTGTACGCAAAAAAAAAAAAAAAAAACTCCTCATTATTGATCCAGCTGTGGTTCCAAGGTCTGGTGGAGAAGGGTTTACTCACCCCTCCAGCAAGCATATCATAAAAGTCAGCAATTTAGAAATTTGCTAAAACCAGATGTGTTGGGCCGAAAGTTGCAGAGATCACAGCTCAACGGTTAACCACATAAACCACAACACACAGTGCCAACCACCTTTTTAGGAGCGAACGCAGAAGAAGAAGAAATAACAGTTTTTAGTTTAACTCCTTTTGTCCTATGATGATGTTATTTGAAACTTTTCAGATTGTGACATGTTATCCTTTAGGTTGTGGATGATTGGGTTAGGATGAGTCAGTGAATAATTGCTTAGCACAACAAGTTAAAACAAAGTCTTGTTTCATGTGTCATCATCATCATGTGTCCTGCCAACTGGCGTAGGCGCTTATGCGTCTCCACAGATCACGATCACTGGTTACCTGGAACAGCTCTCTTGATGATGTCCCTCCATGCCATTATTTCATCCCATCCAGTGTCGTCTCTCTTGGTCTGCCTCTACCCCTTTTTCAACTGATCTTTACATGTGTCGGGCAGTTTTAATTTCTCGAGTCTAATATAAATTACTAATTGTATTGCAGGATGGAGAATACGAAAGCAGTATATTCTGGTGAAGCCACTGGCACAGCCAAAAATGCAGCAAGTGCTTTTATGGGTATGTATTTTAACCTAATTTTACCCGAGCTAAACACATGCCTAACTTAAACAACACAAGAAGAGATAGGGTTACAAATACCAACATTAGAGAGAAAGTCAGAATAAGACCATGTCTGGATTATATTGGCAGACAAAGAATGAAATGGTTCAGCCATTTAGTGAGAATGCAGCCAGACCAGACTGTATATGAGACTCTACAGCAGAACATCAGGGAGGAAGGCAAGGGGAAGACCAAGCAAAAGATGTATAAATGGTCAAGCTGAAACCTCAACAAGATGAACAAATCCTTACCCAAGCCACCCGAGAATCGCAAGACAAATATAGAAAAACACAAAAACTGGGCTACAACCTTGTATCAGTGAGACGACAAAAGAAAGAAGCACATGCCTAGTTATCATTATGCATTATGTATATTAGAAACTTAATTGTAACAATTTAAAAGTTTAAATACAATTTTTCAAAACTGTATGTGAAGCAGTAATAAACCTGGTGTGGGCAAATAGCTAAACAAGTCAAAATAAGAAATGCTTGGCTTTCACAATATTTCCTTCATCATCATCTCTTCTTCCTAGAAAATTCTGAAAATTATGTTGTTCTAATCTTTATGAGACTGTGCCCACAGTCCTAGTGGGTGGAGATAATATTCCTGCCATTGCATTAGGATTGGACAGACACTTCATCTATAGAATGCAGATTGGTCTATAAAATATGGGTCCAACATTGTATGCCGAATATGCTATAAATATGAAAATTATCCTTTACTTACTTTATTAATAGTACATCTTTATTTGTGTGTGCGTGTATAAGCATCCATGCATGTGTGTCTGTGTCTTTGTGTGGGTGGGTGTGGTGGTGCAAGTGTTGGGCTTTACTTGTATTCATTCTAGCTTTGTTTACTAATTATAATTATGATTTAATTAATTTACTACTAATTTTTAATTCACAAAATTAATATTAACTTTATTTTCCTAATTTGCTGTTAATTAATTTGCTAAATATAATTATGAGGTTATAAGTAAAATGGAAGATAGTGAAAACTTGTACATGGAGAGATTGATGTAATATTGTCTGTGGGCTCTGGGCAACACTGAGACTCTGGGCAACACTTGATACTCTGGGCAACACTTGATACTCTGGGCAAAGGCAAGATGAGTAGTTAACCAGATGACAGTGGGTGCCATCAGAGTGGAGACTTTTCACTGGCTGTGAAGGAGGGAGAGAACTAATGTGGGCTTATTATCCTGAAAACAGCAGGATTTAATCTTTGCCCAAATTTCTGATTATGAAGTCTATTAATTATACAGATTTTTTTTTTCTATAGTGCAACAGTATTTTAACAATGAATTTAAAATATTCTTTTTAATGAAAAGTCAATTATTTTTATATTAAAACTCAGTATCATAAGTTATGTGAAGAAAATTATACTATATCAGTATATTTTAAGACATGTTTATGTTTAATTTATGCTCTAATTGTTAAATATTTAACAGAATGTAAAATTTATGGTAATATTTTTGTTTCCAGTCAGTGTGCATGATTCCTAAAAATGGTTGATTTGGTTTTTTTTTTTACATAAGATTATCATGATTAAGTGATGATTTTTTTTTTTTTTTTAAGGTTGAGTTTGGACCTGACATGTATTTGCCTCTGAAGGAGCTGAGTGCTATTGTTAACATGCTGCCATCCATCAAGGTTGTATTTAATTCTTTATTTATTTTCTTTAGATATGTTTTCCTTCCTTATGCTACCTAATGACATATAACCAAGACAGTATGTGATAAGCCCATCCTTGTCATTACCCTGCATGAACAAGAAGATTATCACAGGTGTTTGTTTACTTTCAGAATAGTGTTGTTTTCTTCTTCTTTTGTTGCTGTTGAACAGGGTCACATTTCAACCATCAGGTGCCTTCTTCACAGTGAAGGTTAGCGGCAATGGATCTCCAGCACTCTCTGTATCTTGTGTTGTTAGTACACTTTGACAGACTGCTGTTTGTCCCTTGTCTTGATATTGTAATCCCAGATGTACCATTGTCTGCCTCTTGCTCTATTATCTTCAACCTTTCCCTCCACTATGGTTTTCAACAACAGCAAAAAGTATTATGTGTTTACCATAACCAAAATATTTCTGGTTGCTACAAAATGCCTGGTGCACCAGTGGTATAAAAGTGATATTTTTAAATCTTATTTTCTTTCTGTTGAGCCGGTTTCATTTGCCTACCTCCAATTTACATTTGGTGTCTATGGGTTAGGGGTTATGAAAGTATTTTTATGATTACCTCGATTCTGTCACAGCCGATTTGGCAGCAAACTTCATTGTGTTGATTTCATCACTGATTTTATACTGTTTGTTAAGAAAGCAGTGGCATATTGCTGAACATAAAAGTGTATACTAAAACCAGAATAAGCCATAAAAAGCTGGGTTTGGTTTATGATGTTTGCTGATTTTGCTTAAGCTACTCACCATCACATTGAAATCATCCTCTGAAGTTGTATGTCATTATCATTGTTTTTAAAGATCAATGTTTTTTTTTTTGCTTTGATCCCACAGCATCCATACATCTTCCCCACTACCTTTGCAACAGCAAATGAAAATGGATGCATGACCATCCGTGACTTTGTTGAAAGAGGATCTCTTCGAGACGTTATTTGTAAATGCAAGCCTAAAGGAACATATTTAAATAAATACTCAAATCCCAAGACAGTTTTGCAGTTAGATTTTGAAACAGTTAAAACTTTTGGGAGACAGATTTTAGAAGCTCTCAAGTTCCTGCAAGAAAAAGGATTTCCTTATGGTGAGTTTCTTGCCATTAGTTTTTCTTTCTGCTGAAAAACAAGTAATATAATAATATGTAATATAATAGGTAATTGTAAAAGTATTTAAAATGATGTTTTCCTGTAATGCATTTTTAAAATGTGGACAAAACACTGCATTGCCCAATATATTGCCAGGTATATTTTGCTGTATCTCGTCAGGTACGTAACTACAATGTTACATCAACATAAAACGAAGCACTAAAAATTAATTCTACTGATATGCAAATGGTCTGTCTCATTAAATTGTTCATCTAATCACCAGAAGTTCATAATAGTCACATGACTTTACCACACCTAGAACAGGCAAATGCTGAGATTAGCCAAAGCTTTGACAATAAAAGTGAACAATCTTCCCTTATGTAAACAGAAGGAATTCATTATAAATTAATTTGAAGTTACCCTGGTAAGTCATGTGACTGATGAACTTCCCATATTTTATTGACCATTTGGTACTTGATGAGAGATGTTCACTATTGCGCTGGCCATTTTGACTTCCCAGGACCTTTCCTGATACCTCTCGCATACATCAGAAATAGACTGTCATAAACTTTTTTTAAGGGTCACATTTATAAGAAGACAAAACCGTAAGATATTTTTACAGCTATATACATTTATGGAAAGAGATGTGATGCAGAAAATGAGAAAATTTTCTATTCAGCCTTTTGTCATGGCATAGAAGGATGTCAACACATGAACTAGAACATGCTATTGGAGATTGCTAGATGAGAAGTAGGATCATCAACACTATTTGGCAAGATCTTTGGTCATGCTCTTAGGCTAAATAACCTGAGAGCCCTAAGTCATTTATGAAAATTTACTGTGGATTAAGACCCAAAACCATCAAGCAGGAAGGTGAGCAGTAAAGTTCTGATCAGTCTATAAAATATGGTGAAGCACCATATATCCGATGGGCCTATGCCTGAAAAGTATTTTTATTGAATAGAAATAATATACTGAATAGATTATTCACAGAGATGCAGGCTTTTAGATCAAGCTTCATCCTTACCCTTTGTAACATGTTCCTTCATGCAAATTTAAGGGGTCACAAGTCATGTAGCTATTATAAATATGTCAACCCTGGTTCAAAAAGAAAAGGTTATCAAACACTGCACTAAGGTTACTTTTGTTTAACTGTTCCTAGAAACAGTTGCTGAAATTGCTTTGACCATGTGGGAACTATTTCAGGTCATCTTCATGCTGGAAATGTCATGGTTGTTAACAATACCTGTCAGTTGACTGACCTAGAAAACAGCATCATTGGACTGCCAGGATACTATAGAGCTTTCTGCACAGAGTTGAAGAAAGTACAAGTGAGTGTCAAGTAGAAATAATTGCTTAATTACTTCCTAGTTTTTATTGACACAGTATTAACATACCACATAAAGATAAAGTTAAAATTTATTAATTTGTGTGATTTGCTTCCAAAAGAGTGGGATATCCATTACTTTATCAAAGTAGACATGAATAGAGAAACATATTTATTCAATGAGTTCATAGTTCAAGAGGAAAGCAGTGTTTTACATGGAAATATCATCATCTTACAGGTCCTTTGCAGAATGTCGCTGTCACCATGGCATACCTGACAGCCACCCGACCCCCTGCCAATTGATAAGTGATTTGTTTATTATGGTGTTTAGTATTGCTGAAGTATTCCCATTCACAAGAAAAATGCAGTTTGTGAGACAGTTCTGCCTTGATATTTATAGGAATATGGCATAAGAAAAATGTGCTTCCTGTGTGGGAACTTGGCATCTGGTCTGATGTTAATATCCAGTTCACTTGTATGTTTAGTTCTTTTTTTTAACCTTAGAGCAGGTGTATTAGTCTTATGAAATTACATAGTGCAGCTTTATGACAGGAGCAGTTATATCAGCATTTGAGATAGAATATAAAAACATAACAGAAGAATGGGGCAGAAAGAATATAGATATGCAAACTTTATATGAAGCATAACTGGTGACTATATTGTGTGTTCTCTGGTACTAAAAGAGTTAGTTATTTATTATTAATCACTGTCCCCAGTGTGGAACCAATTTTTCGTTATTTCGAAGCCCCACCCTGGTTGTTGCTGGAGCTCTAATATAAACTAGCAGTTGAACAGGGTTTCTGGGACCTCTCCACGGGTGATCCTCACCCGAATGGTGGCACTCTCTGTCATCGGATATTAATTGCTAAGTGTGATGTCCTAGTGGGGTCAGTCAATTGTTTAATAATTTGTGTGAATTAGCACGAGTAAGTTTGTGTGCACATTTATGTGCCCTGCACCTGATAGGAGAAAGATAGGATCACTTTGGACAGATGTAATGAAAATATCTTGAAGGAAATTAACTCACCATAAAAGAAGGCAGGCCACATTCTTTTGGGTATATCACCAGAAGGGGACAAAACTGGAATATGTCCTAAAGACAGAAAACGTAAAAGGGAAGAAAAGTGGAGGGAGACCAAGAGATGCAATGCGAGACAGAGAAAGAATGTTAGATGGTATGGTACCTCTTCTCCTCGACCAGCTTCACTTATGACCACGCTAAAAATTTACAAATGCAAATAGTAAATAACTACATTGATTTGGTTTCAAAGGTTCTCATAACTGATGCCTAAACCTCAGCACGATCTAGAATCAGAGTTTGTTTGACACTCCACATATTTTAGACTGCTCTAGAACCATAGGTTGAATATAAATGTGTTTAAAAATATAAATTCCACTTAACCACCAGTTCAGGTTGTGACCTGGTATGACACAAAAATACAGTTTGTTGTTGATG